CCACGTCCACAGCCCCATCTCATGTTCCACTTTATGTAGTGAGTTTCTGTCCCGAATCATATGGTAACTTCTTGTCCTAGTTACCAGCTTTATTCCCTGGTTTCTTAAAAAAGAAAAAAAAAAGGATGGAAGCCCTATTGGAATCTTGCTGATTCCTTTTACCTGGTACCCTCTGCCTGTGAAAACTACCACCTGCCTGGATTTCCCATCTCACTCACCTGTATGCTCTGTTATTCTACCCTACCTGGTGGAACATGTATCATTTTGCTGTGAGGTACCCACTGCTCTATTTGCCTGGCCTGTTACTTGGAAAATTGTTATCTTGCTTACTCTGGGGTTCCTGACAGCCTGTGCCATCCTGAACCTCCTCTGTCAGCCTCATCAACGACGTCAGGTTCCCCTTGTAGGCTTACTGCCAGAACCCAGAATTCTCCAGAATTCTATAGCTTTTTAATAGCTATAGAATTTAATTTTTAAATTTCCATTTCTATAGCTATAGTACAGCTAATACCTGAGTAGAGCACAGAGGCCACCTGCAATAACTGAGACAGAGAGTGATAAGGACCAGACCATGGGAATGGAGAAGAAAGGCTGATGTTGAGACCCTACACTAGGAGGAAATAAAGGAATGGTTCTGGGAACTAACCAAATGGAGAAGATGGTAACGGGCAAGGAAGAGACAAAGAACTCCATGGTTCAAAGCCTGAATGCCAAAGAAAGCAATGTCTGCAACAGCAAGGACAGCGGGGGTTGGCAAGGGATCTGTTTAGGTTTGGAACATGTTTGTACACAGTACTTTTCCACTCCCTCGTCCCTCATTCTCTGTGTTCATTCATAGTATTTATCAGTACATCTCACCTCTCTAGCATGAAAGCTCCCTGAGAGCAGGAACCTCGCTAGTTTATTCACTGCAGAACACCCGACTCCAGAGCAGTGCCTGGCGGGTACCATGTTTTCAGTGTAGGGTACGTAGACCAAGTGAATGAATTTTGAGTTAACACCCAGACCTCAGGCAGTGCTGCCCATCAGGTGCTCGGGGTAGAAGTGCCTGGGCCTTGGCTGGAGCCTGGGTTTAAGAGACGTGGGTACTAGAAGAGAGGGTGTGATGAGGAAAGGCACATTCAGAGAAAGAGAAAGGCTAATAAGACATGTGGCAAATCTGCCTCGAAGATTTAGGGGTGATAAGAAGGGGAAGAAGGGGGGCAAAAGAGAGAAAGAAAAGTCAAAGACAATCAAGATGGTAATGACACCTTTGGTAAATCGAGGAAGGACCAAGCAGTAATGGCAAGTGTTGAAGAGGGTGAGATGAATAAAAATGAGAGAGTAATACTAATTTTCATGATTAGGAGGCTTGGAGAAACCTCAGTGGAGTTCTGGACGCCAGGGTGATTGCAATGGGACGGGGGATGAGAGTGTGGGGAGAAAGTGGAAGCAGCAGATACAAGATGCTTTCAAGATGCTTGGCCCCGATAGTAACGGACGATGCAGAAGTCAGAGAAATAACTAAGTTAAATGGGGTGTTTGCTTGTATTCTTAGCTTTGGGGAGATGAAAGTATATTTAAAGACACAGAGAGAGGAGCTTCAGCACCCCTCTCCCCCAAAAAGGATGAAAGAAAAATCAGATGTGATATTGATATTTTGAGTTCTAGGGATAAGGAAGGGACAGAACCTGGGAGGGCCCTTTCAGTCAGGAGAAGAAAAATAAAGAAGAGAAGCACCTGGGGAAGGTAAATGGACAGGCGGCTATTCTCCTGCCCTAGAACCTAGCAGCCCACAGACTAGCTTAAACCAGAGGTGAGGATACAGGTGACTTTCTGCTTTAAAACATAGCCAGAGAACTTGAAATCGGGCCCAGTCCCAGCCTGTCTCACAGGACAAGACGGTCTTCCAAAACATAGTTGACCCAAGGACCACCAAAGCAGGCTGAGGACAGGATGCTTCTTAACTTCTACCACCATAGGAAATGTGTGATTACAATGGCATTTATTACAATGGCATTAATAAATCAGCATTGCACCCTATCTACTACCGATTAAAAATTCCTACAGCAGAAGCCCAGACTAGGGAAGGTGGTATTAATCACTGCACAGCGAAACAGAAAAAGATTTGTGTCCATGTGACTATAAAGCCAGGAGTTTAAGTGAAGGAAAAACACAAAAGAGTTACTATTTTTTTGGAAGGAATTCATCTTCATTCATATCCCAAGATAGTATGGGTCTTGCCTCAGGTATACTTTAGTTTGCGAGATAGCACATGGCCTCGGTCATATCCAAAAAGCTAGATTTCCCTGTTCCTGAGATAATTTATTGAAACAGAAAACACATTTTTCTTGGTTATTTCCGACTGCATCAGTTTTCCTCTAGATGTGACATCTTTCCTCATCGTGAAAAAAACATAATCTACCATTTTGTGCTTCCTTTTGTTTTAGGCTTTACTTATACATTCCACAAAGCTCAGCAGAAATTTAAGCCTGAAAATAAACATACATTTAAGGTGACGATAAAATACTTTGTAATGGGACACTTGATAATCTCTTATGAAATTCAAGTAGAACATCAGCAGTAATATGGGTTTAAAAAATCATGCAAGTAAATGTAGGAGGCAAATTCATTAAGAACTGTTAACTCATCTACTTGGTTTATTTTTATTCTATTAGTCACAATTTTGATGAAAATTAAAAAAACAAAAGGCATGTAATAATTTTCTCAGTTTTAATGTAGTTTGGAAGACTTTAGGAACTAGGGATATAGGATCCACCAATAACTTGTTGAAGCTAAATTTTGTATAAAATCCTGTGTGAATTTTAAAAGGAAAAAAGAGAACACAAAGACGGCCAGACTATCCTCGGTAACCATGGGATAACATAAAATAACACTTTAGGCTGTTTAAAATGACTTTTCTTAAATATTCGGGGTTGGTGGAAACATGTTACAGCTTCCCTACTGTTGAAATAATTAAAAGGAGGTGATAAGGGAAGATGAAGCGGTATTTCAGGGTATTTCTTTGTAGCTGTATTTTCTACTTTAGGGAGAGAGAAGTTAGCAGTCCAGATTCATTTTTGATTTTTAATAAACACTAGAAAGAGGCAGACTGTGTGTTATTTTGAAAGAATGAGCAGATACAAAGGTATCTTCTACAAAGGTAGAAAAACCTCTCAATAATGGAGCATCTTCTCTCAGAGAGAAACTGTCCTTTTCAAAACAGGAAACAGGCTGAAGAGGGAATCCAAAATCTTGGCTCAGGTCTTAGCTCAGGCACTAACTAGTTGTGAAAGTCAGGAAAATTCCTTCATTTCTTTGGGCTTCCATTTATGCTAATTTCTAGAATAATTATACTAATACTCTGAAAACTGTTCCTTCATTTTTGTTAATTTTCTTCACAAATGCACCGCACATGTTAAATAGTTTTTAGTCCAGTTTATCCTTTAAAAGGACAAGACAATTGAAGACACTTCTATCTTCTCTCTGTTATTGTCCAGATCCCTAATCCCCCCCCATCTTGGGTAGCCGTGGTAATGTGAAGAGCCAGTTTCTCCAATGCTTAGGAAACCATGAAAGTGAGGCAGTTAAAAAGCCCATGTGTGTCCATTCACAGCTGAAGAACAAGGGACAACAAAGTGCCCAGCCAGGGGTTGGAAGGAGTCAAGGACCGACAACAGAATACGGAACTGAAAACACCCTAGAATTCAACTCATTCACCTCTGTAACCTAAGAAGCCAATTAGAAACTAAAGAGAATTCAACCACCAAGCAATCATTTCCCTCTAAGTCAAGTCTCTTTTCTGTTTCTATCTTTTTATTATAAAACTTTTCCAATATCTACAAACAGAGAGATGCAAATAAACCCCATGTACCCACTGCTGAGCTTAAGCAATTACCAACTTGTGGCCAATCTTCTTTCATCTATATTCATTCCTCTTCCAGGATTATTTTGAAACAAATCATGATTTCTTCTTAAATATTAAGTGCTCAAAGAAATTGTATAGCTACAAATGCATCAGAAACAGTTTTCTTTAGGAACCTTTGGTGTCCCTAATCCACACACTCACACTACTTGTGGTATTTCCTATTTTATTTAGCCGCTCTTGAACTAAAGGCCAGCTCTTATCTCGGCACGGACCAGGAGGATATGTTCTGTGACCCTGCACATACAGAGACAATATTAGACTGTTGCGCAATAAGGAATTTTGATGAAGGGACTGTTTTGGACTACAACCATGGAAAAAGCTGAACTTATATCAAGATATATAAATAAAATACCACTAATACTGGATACTTACTTAAATTGGGTTTAATTCTGGCCGGAGATTTAAAGCTAAGCTTCCTCCATGAGTCCATAAAAAAGGTACTAAATAATTCTTAAGGTTTAATGAATTCACAAAATAAAATAACAATGAAATATTTTCACACCAGTGGGGTTATGGCTCCCCTAGGACAGAGTCCAGTTATTTGTCCTAAAGACAGGATGGAAATTTAAAATTAAACAATAAATACAGCAACATTTTTTTTCCATACAGTCATTCACATTTTTCGCACAGAACAAACACATTCGAAAAAGACATTAAAAATTTTTAATTAACAAATAGGATTGTGCTATTGAAACTAAGTAGATAAGTAACAGTGTGTGTATGTGGGGTGTGTGTGTGTGTGTGTGTGTGTGTGTAAATGGATACTTGCAGCTACAATGGTGACAAATAATACTTCCACTTCTAACTTTCATCTTACCTCCCTGCTCCCTGAACACTGGCATTTTATATGAATTTACAAGTATATATATAAAACTAAGAATATATTAGGGAGCCAGAATAGAAAAAGAAGGCAAATCAGAATTCTAAGTTGTTTCATCCTTAAATAAAATAATTTCATTTCAAATATGGATTATTTTTCTGAAAACAAAAACAAAAACAAAAACAATAAACTCTGCAAAACACAATTTTTTTTTGACTTTTTGAAGAATTTAACAAATTATCTTCCCTTCTAATAAAGCGATGATATTCATACCTGCTGAGGTTTCTCTAAATTTGTCACTGGTCTTCTTTTTCCTCCATTTCCAAGGCTTAAAGATTTTACCAATGGTGGAGAGTTTCCCCTTTCTCTTGAAGGGAGGTGTTTGGGAACCTGCTGTTGGGCCATCTGAGTTTGCTATCGAAGCTTTGTCCAGTCCATCAACTGTATAAGGAAAAATAAAGTCAGAGAAAAGCTGTAATAAAAGTTTGAAACAACATCGTCTATTTCTCCCTGCACTGTTAATAGTGAACATGCCCATGTTAAGTGGACTCTCACATGAAGTATTTTTGCCTCGTTTCCTAGCTGATAGAACTTCCCTGATATCAATCAATAAACCAATCACTCAAAAAGAAATGACAGTCCCCTTAGATAATCGTTTGGGAGAATAAAAAAGAAGCAAGAGACTTACACAGTAGGTAGAACCGGACAAATAAGGGTCCGTGAAACACAAGCGAATCCATCTGCAACAACTACACCAATATTTTGTGCAGGAATAGAGTAGTCTAAGTATTTCTGAAATAGGGTGTTCCTCCAGAGGCCAGTCTGACATTCTCAGTAACGAAAATTTCTGGCGTGGTATAGATAAATCTATGGTTTCTCCTTTGGCAAATAAAATTTAGCGCCCCAAATCTAAACGCTAATTTTTACAAAGCCAAAACTATCTTTTGCTTCCATTACCAAAAAAAAAAAAAAGTTTTCGGCTTCAAATAAACTGATAGCTATCATGAGTGATAAGAAATATGTGAAAAATGTGGGTATTGTGTGTGCCAGAACATATCTTCAAATGCTTTAATCATTTAACTAGTCAGAACATATCTTTATATGCTTTCAGCATTAAATTAGTCAAAAAAAAAAGGCCTGAAACCTTACGTTGCCTTGCACTATGTTCAAAATAGAAGGAAGATAGTGATGACTTATATTAACCCAACTATCAAATTTTAACGGCAAAAAACTAGAAGCAACCCAGAATAAATTATAGTATTTTTTTTATGCAGTGAAATAGCACTCAGCCTGAGGAAAAAAACAAGCGATTAATACATACAAACACAATACATACAAAAACATTGTGCTCGGGCAAAAGAGGGACAAATGAGTACATACTGTGTGGTTGTATTTATATGAAGTTCTAAAAGAGGCAAAATGAATGTATGGAAAACCTCGCCCCCCAAAAAAACAAAAACGAAAAAGAAGAAATAAAAAATTCAGAACAATAGTTACTTCTAGAGTGAGATGGAGGTAGGAATTAACTGAGAAGCGATGTGAGGGAATTTTCTGGGGCGATGGAAATTCTCTCAATAAGGGATGGATTATACAACTCATCAAATGGTATTTATGATACTGTGCATTTCACTTTACATAAAACTTACCTTTTAAAAAGCTCTAAAAAAGTAGCGAAATCCAATTAATAAATACAGGCCAAAGTGTTTAGGGGTGAAGTGTACTGAGGTTGATCAAAAACAATAAATGAATAGATAGAAAGAAGAGACGGATAAATACACAATAAAGTAAAATATAGCAAAATGTTAAGTGTTGGATCTAGGTGGTGGATTTGCTGCAGCTAACTGCATAAGTCTCTCTCACATTCAAAACTTTCCTAACAAAAATAGCAGGAAAAGCAAAACCAATAAAGACAGAATGGCGAGGACTTCTTGCAGAAAGATGTAACAGACTTATTTTTTCCTATTCCTCCTGTGAAATACAAATTAAAAACCCTAGGTGTTATATATAAAACCAACAGAAGAAGACGTTGTAATGTGAAAAGAAAGTAGGCCAGCCTGGGACCTCAGAACCCAAGAAACAAGGTGAAGGTAAGATCTCTGGGTTTCCTTTTTGTCTCATATAAACCAGACCTGTAGCTGACGCAGTCATCAATCTGGAAATACTAATAGTCACAGGCCACCAAAGCCTCAACAAAAGCTGCTCTCTCTAGCCAAAGGAGCAGGAAAGGAACAGCCTAGCAAGACAGAAAACTTTTAAACAATAACTGCTCTACTTCAGCCAAATACCACAGAGGAAACTATGACCATCTATGCCAGCAAAGATTGAGTGGGGAAACGAGACTTGTACTCTCACGAAGCTCTATAACAGAGAAGACCAAGTAGGGAACTTCTCGCCTGACAGCTGGCAATGAAGCATCATCTATAATGTCAGTGGAGATCATGTGGGAGCCTGGAATTCCAACCCTGTCTGAAAGGCATCTCTCTTCCTCCATCCCCCTTAACCCTGGGGAAGTAACAAGCTACTGCCCAGTGGGAATAAGACCATCCCCACCTGCTCTGGTGTCGGTGGAGACCACGTGGGGATCTGGAAACCCCACTGTGCCCAACAGAGACAAGGAGTCACCACCTCCCCCATTTCTGCCACCAAGTATCAACCAAGGGCAAGTGGGGAACCTGGATTTTCCCTCTGCCTGGCAGTAATGAAGTGGCACCCCTGCTTCGCTTTCTGAAAATATGGCAGACGAAGCCAGTTAAAACAAAAGATTCAATGAAATTTAGAGTCTTATCACATAATACAAAAATGTCTATGTTGCAATGAAAAATTATTTGACATACCAAGAGCCAGGAAAAAAAATCTTAAACTGAATGCAAAAAAGAATCAGTATATGCTAATGCCTAAATCTTTATGAGCACTCCTTCTAAACAAATATGATAAATCCTATTCTTCCCATGAGTGAGATGAAAGTTCTGTGTATGGCTCCTAACCCTACTTGACCCTGCCCATGCTGGCCATGGTGCAATAGGCAGAGGGATATGCAATAGACTGATTTTAAAGCTAAGCTAGAGTGAAAAAGTAAAATCCATATTTACTTCACTTCCACTCCTGTCCAAATGCCTTCGTTAAACTAGGGGCAAACCGAAGGAGGAACCAATGGCGTTTCTTCTTCATTGAGACTTTATGCTGTAGGGCTTAACTGTGAACATTTACATGTTGTGAAATATAAAAGGGCTGACTATTACGAACACAGGAAGTAAAGTCTCCATCTCGAATTCACCTCTGTGGCTATAGACGCACATCGAGTTCTCATTTTCTCTCAGCCCACATTTCTAGTTCCCCGACACTCCATAAAAATTCTGCTTTGGACCTAAACCATTTAAGAATGGTCTGTTTACTCCTGAAAACAAAAATAAACACAGGAAAAAAAAAAACACACACAAAAATTAAATAATTCCCTAGGTGACAGAAGGTGACAGATGGCGAGATTGAGTGAGGTAGTTGATGAGTGAAAAATGAAAGCCTTAATGTTAAATTCATAGCTGCATATGAAATGAACAGCCATTATCTTTCTTTGTTATGCATTTGCAATTCTAGTCTTTATCTCTGCTTTGGAAAGGGCCTGGGCGAGTGCCAATGACCACAGCAGCACACACACACACATACTCCCTCCCCCACCCCCACCCCCGCTGCTGCCCCCCAATGAATGAATCCACCTGTAATTTCATAATTGCTGGGCTATTATAGTAAATTACACTTGCGATTAGAAACCATATGTTGGCACAGTTGGTCAAATTGCCATTGTGTTTCTCTTACATTAGAAACATAAAGGGATTGTCACCTGCTTTTGAGTAGTATAAACGCTCTCTTTTCCTGCAAACACCTAAGGTACTGCCAGTGCCATTGTTATTTCTACAATTTTTCTTTTGGACCAACTTGCCATTAAAAACTAGCTTGAATTTTCTAAAAAAAAATTCACAATTCCAGTGAATTCTGCATTTACACACAGATAAAAACAAGTTGCCAGGTAAATCCCAGATGAAAGGCAAAATTTCCTGACTCTTTTAAATGTTAATTTTTACCCGCTATCATAATAAGAGTGATCTGTCATACATCAAAAACTTTCCTTTTCACACTTGAGATCAGCATTTTAAAATATTTAAAATATCATTTAAATATTTTGAAATACAATAAAAAAGAAATAGCCATTACTTGTTCGAATGCAGGCATTTTAAATGACACAGCTCAGTCTGTTTTCCCACAAACAAGCTCACACCTAACAAGACTTCCCCAGCCACAAACTGGTAAGAATTCAGATTACATGCAGGTTTTATTTTTCATTTAAACAGAAATTTATCAATTAAGCAGTTCCCGTGCAAATGTGACTACAGAAGCCAAAAACAGATGAGGCTAGATAATTACCAGATAAAATAAAGTATAGGTTTGGTCAGTCTTCCCTCTGAGATATGAGAATTTAATGACAAGGATTCTTAGAAAAATTAAATCTAATATGAGAGTTTGTAGTATTCTTGTAATATCAGGTAGTTATGTGATATTTTAGATATTTATTCTAGATTTTTCTCTGCACGTAATTAGTTCAGCCCCTGAGGAAGTGAGACAAATGTGGCAGAGTATTCTACTTTTCATAATTTTGTAGGTCAAAGGTCATTAAAAAAAATAAAACAAGCAAACCAACCTTTATTTCCTTAAAATATGATTTCTAGGCTATTTTCTTTTTTCTTTTAAAATAAAAAAGTTTAATGAAATATTAAAAGGGTGAAATTATATACTATTCAGTAACATTAAAAGATAAAACATCAGTATCAAATACTGATCATTCCAGAAATTGAAGGCTGGTTCCATATTTTAAGAATGAATGTAATTCATTATATTAAGAGATTTAAGAAAAACCGTATGATATCTCAATAGATGCAGGAAAAGAACAGGACCACATCCAACATCCCGTCCTCGTGTGCACGTTCACAGCAGGAACACAAGGGAACTCCCATAATTTGATAAAGTGAATTTCAATAAAGCTTAGAGCTAACAGCACACTTCATGTTAAAAGATGGTGTCTCCCTGATATCCGGCACTTGCCAAGGATACTCTCTCATCGCACCCAAGCAGGGGACGCTTCAGTTGTGGCCCAGGAGAGTCGGGGGAGAAGGTGACCATGAAGAGAACTCTTGGAAGGGCTGTGAGCTCTTGGAAGGGAATGGTAAGGGAGACCACCATTCAGAGGAAGCGTAGGCATCCCTGTGATGACGCAGTACACATGCACGACACCGCTAGGCTACTCTCTTTGTGCTTTTGTCGTTTATTATGCTTACATAGTATTATCATTCAATTTTAAATTTGTTTTACAGTTTTTATGTTTCCATTATAATTCTGCATCTTTCCCCTTTAAATTCACAGAACCTATGACATAGAAGCATTAGAGGAGCATA